CCCGGCCCTCCTCCAGAAGAAAAAAAAAATCTAATCGTTCTCGATCAGTGCAACAATATCGAATCGAAAATAGATAGGTGCATCACCTTTCACCTACATACAGTCAAGACCTCAGTCACACCAGCAAGACCGACTCCAGACCGAGAACAGACCGAGCAAAAAAAAAAATCATAATCAAATGGCCAAATAACGATGATTTGAAATCGGTGTGCAATTTGTTCGACGGTGAGACTTGGGTATAAAGGAAACATGACCATGACAAACGTTAGTTTCATATTTTTATGTTTGTTTAAACAATATACCATACTTGCCTTCATATTGCTTGGCCAATGATAAACGTGAGCTCTGGGTGATAGTCGACTCATGCCTGTTGGACACAAGGCGTTATTTTCCTGACGGAGGCCTGCGTCAAAGATTGGTGCAGTCTTGACGCGCATTTTGGCAGTGATATTAAACAGTCCGACAAGTGAATGAAAAACCAATCTTTTAAAAATCTTTTTAATAGCTGACGTATGCGCTAATTGCCATCAAAAACTTGACTGGCGCATTGAATAACGCAATCAAAATGATACAACGAGCATTGCACATAGTTCGTAATTTTTATTGCGTTATTGTATGCGCTGATAAAATCTCAAAGGGAATTTATTGCATGCTCCAAGTAGTTCAAAAATGTTTGCACTGTTCCTTTTACCATCAAATGTTGTATGACGTCACTCTGTCATTGCGGTATGCGCGTTGCACACGAGGCGTCGATTGCCTGACGTAGGGTTACGTCAGTGAATTGTTCAAATAAGCCAGAAGACAATAATCATATTAATCTATTGTTCAGTTTTGAGCTCTTTCGTTTTTGTATAAAATGTTTCACCATAATCTATTCAACTTGAGGTTAGACCTGTGAACTGTGCCTTAAAAGAAAACGGCAACTTAAGATATCATATATTTCTGTGCCATTACGTTACCTTAATTTTCTTTGGTGTACTTCGATTGCTCATTGCCCCAAAAGTTTGGAAATAACTTCGCGAACCTATGCAAATAAATTTCAGAGACAGCCCTCGTTATACGGATATAAGTACTCAAATTTACATTGCAAATATATCATAAGAATTCAACAAGAGTGATTTTCTTCGTTACGTTATTTTACTTTTCTCTTATCTTCATCATGAGGAGCTCTGGTTTATGCAGGGGTCAATCTCTATTTACCTTAGAAAGTAATTATGGAAACCTTCTCTCGCCCATCCATTTCACTCAAGACATATTTGTACCTCTTATTCATAATGCTTACTCCCCATCTGTTTTTTTTCTTCCCGGAATCAGAACATGGAAAATGTCAACGGAAAACGAGGTAATGGGGTACTCGAGATGACAGGTCATAACCCATAAATCCTCTTATACCAAAAAATCTCATATCACATGCAAATATTTTCCCTTAAGCCGAGATCTCGTTGACGGCGGCTTAAGATCCGGAAAAGGGGGGTCGGAGGGGGGGGGGGGGGGCATTAGAGATTATAAAGACAACCGCTATAATCATGTCGACCTTTAGCGGCCCACTCAATCTTTTTTTTTCTATCCAGAGTGGATATAAAGTCTCCTTGCTGAAGATGGATGAGTAGTTACACAAAACTGATTTAGTATTCAATCACGAAATGGAAAGGCGCCTTCCAAACTGAATCTGCTGATACAAATCCTCTTCGCCGCATCTTTTATTCTTTCTCCTCTTCGTCGAACTCTCCACTCCTCTTTTCCACGCTTTCACGCATGGCGGATTCGGTAAGAGCGGTAGCAAGTTTTTAGCGGTAGAACAAGGTTACCCCTCCCCCCTCATCAATTAGTGTTGGCGTTGAATTAAAATATTGATGATGACTGAGGATATTCTTAAATTGATCACCGTGTAGGTACTGGTCCATGTTGTGAACACTCCATCCCCGTTTCTTGCTAAAAGTATTTGGGAGACTTTGATTGAGCATGGGCACCTTGTATATTTTAAGTAAATAAAAATATTAAATTTATATCATACTTGCATAAACAATAAGCAACGTTTCATATAAAACATATAAGTCTATGCATATTTTGTATTGATTATCAAATCTATCATTTTCATCAGTTTGTAATCAGTTTGTAACTGCTGTGTCTGTGTCCATTTCTTTAGTTACGTGTATTTTCTTTCTTTCTGTTTTTGTCTTGTATCCGTCAATGTCTTTTGTTTGATTATGATTCTTGAAAATTTAAACCTTTGAAAGTAAAAAACAAACAAATCCCACTTCTGAATATTGTTGATAGCAATTCGAAATCACAAAATGGTATTCCCGAATTTCAACTGTAAAAAAATCGAAGTATCTCGTTCTAACTTTTCGCAAGCAGGCTTTTGAATGAATAAAAATAATATTTGAACCCCTATTCTAATTTCACCGATTATGAACTATAAACAAATTTTACTAGCAAGGGGAACAACAAAATCGCATCCCGTTCCAAAGGCAAAACTAAATTAAGGATGCCATGTTTAAGCCAAAATGACCGTCATCCCTCTTATAAGGAGAGGCTTGGCATTACCCCCCCCCCCCCTCAAACTTGAACCCCCACTAGAAATTGATGAGGAGTCAGTGAAGCGGGATGGGGCGGCTTAAATTCCATCAGATAATCTTCTTTCTTTTATTGTCTGAGGTATTGCTCTACGTCATCACTTAGTAGTAGTGCGACGTGTGTAGTGCGCCGACATCGAAAATTGCGATTAATTTTAGGGTTTGTTAGCGCGAAGCCGATGTAACTTTGAAGGTTGTTTCATTTGAAGGGGCATCGGTGTAGCTTTGTTTTTGTTCTTCTTTCAACGAAATAGATATCGGGCGATACCAACAAACTGCATGGTTATATTTGCTTGTTTGTTTGTTTGTCTGTTTGTTTGTTTGTTTGTTTGTTTAAGGGAAAATGAATAAGAGTCGGCTGCGGGTATGTGCCAATTCTTCTGACATTAAATCTTTGACAATAAATTAGAGTTTTGTTTCCGGATAAACTTGTGAGATTAGTCCCTTTTCCCCTGCCCTATTTAACGTGAATTTAATTTTGTTTTCAAATAAGTACTTTTAAATATCGCATACATCCATCTCAATATGTATTCCCCTGTTCCCTTTTCAGTCACTCATAATTTATGATATCAACTAATGGAATTGTCGCTGTATAATATGTATGTTTGACAGTAACTAGTGATCAATCGTTGTTACTATTATCATCGAATACAATGTGATATAATATACAATTCACTTTAGTTCCACGTATAAGGTATGATTATCATGATTAAATGTCTGTCATGATTAAATGGTTATAAAGGTGTGACAATTTATTACATGTGTCTGGCTATTGAGATCATCCATTCTTCAATTACTTGCCACCCCTTTTGTCATGTTAAGTATTTTCATCGTTATAGTTCATAAGCACGTGATTATCGCTATAAAAAACGACATCCATAATGTATGATGCATTGTGCGGAATTGACAGTTATTTAATCATCTTTCACCCCGATTATAATTATATTGGAACTCTATAATAATAATTGACGATTTCTGAACTACTAGGATGTGTTTTGTTGGCAAATAATGAATGCAGTGCCATGGTAACACAACCCTTCCCCTCCTTTTGTTGTAATGCTACTCATTTGTGGAAAAATATATACTTTGAAGATAACAACAATTGCTCGTAGTTAAAGGGAAGCTACGTTTCGATATTTGAATGGAAACAAAATATATAATATTGTGTTACTTAAAACAAATCGTTCTTAATTGTATCAGCTCCTTAAGAATACAACTCACATGGATTTAATCTTGCATCGAAAAGAAGAATAATACTCCTCCAAGCTAAATAGGGTCTACAAGCGTTGAGTGCTGTTGACATTGTTTCTGACCGCATTTTCACTTTTTGTAGACATGCTTGCATCTTTTACTTGGCCCATGATGAAGACGTTCTACATCAATTGAATTTTTTTTATCAATCCCATTTCGATCGTGATCTCTGTATTATTTTTCCGTAGCAAGTATATCTCATATTAAAGAATGTTGCTTTAATAGGAGGAGGAGGGGGGGGGGGGGGGATGGGTGCTGATATTTTGGTGACAAAGCATGGTCCCAATGATCCAATCATAGGAGGTCGAGACGGCCTTGGTAGGTTGACGAAATGTGAAGGAGCGGGGCATCGAAACATATATATTTATCCCCCTCCCTCCCTCCTATTGAAAAATAATAGTCGAGAGAGGAGGGGGGGGGGGCTACTTCCCATTTTATTCCTCGAATCTTTCTTATTTCCTCTCTTATTTTGATTTTGTTTTAATTCGAAGGTTGTTTGTAGGCAAGTGCCTTAAGTTTCTCTCTAGGTCTTCATGTACAAGAGTGGATTATGCAATCACATGAATATATCTTTTTAATCTTCACGCTTCCCATCCTCTTTTTAAACGCAAACAAAAACTTCATGTCAAGTCAAGCGCCAAATAACTTCCAACATTCTTGCAAATACTCTATTACCCCCTCTCTCAAGTCGGTCAGAATCCATTGGTTTATTTCTGCCCTGCCGATCCGTACCATCACACCACGTGGGTGTATCCCCAAAAGACGGTACATGACTTGTTTTTCTTTAATTTACCATCATTTGACGAAGCATCTGCGTCGCAATTCTATAACGGAAATTAAGACATGCCTCCAACAGCAAAAAATACAGCTATAATGAACAAGAATAATGTTACATCAAGCATCACTGCAAGGCCATTGCAGCTCCCCTGTTACAAAATTATATCCTTTATTTTGAGTCGGTGTTAGGGGAAAAGGATAAAGAGGAGAGAGAACGGGAGAGAAAGAGAGAAAGAGAGAGAGAGAGAGAGAGAAGGAAAGGATATGCAGCTTGTGGGCTCTTCGCCGGCTGTCAAGAGCGGGAATGCGAATTTGTGCAGGCTACGATGAGCGCATGCGTATTAGAGACAGTCCGATGTCGCCTGGCAGCAATAGGTTTTATCGAGTAGTGTCGTAAGTAACGTAAGTTTAGCACTGTGTTATGAATGCCGCATCGCGAATACGCCGGTGGCCCATCAACTCATCGCCGTCCCTTCCCCGCGACATATACGTACTCAACGTCTTTTATCATTTTTTTTTTCTTGATGGCGCTCGGAGATTGGGAACGTACAGGTGCAGTGTGGATACAAATCTTCGCAACATAAAGAGGCCGACATTGGATATTTGCTTGTGATTATCATCCGGATAAATATGACCCTGCTTTTGGTTCTGATATCGCCGTTGCTTTTGTTTCTTACGCTTCGAATGGGCTCGGGATTAGTGCAATGTAGGTAAGGATATGATTGAATGATTTCTACTTTTTGCTGCAGTATGTTTACATCGGGGTAAGATCTCATGAGCGACGGGCTACTCCCCCGTTGATATACATGGTATATAAGGTCGACTTAAAGAGTGAACGCACAAAAATAATGTTTATAATTGTAAAGATGGATTGAGAAGATATCATATTCTGCACGTTCGGGTGCATAAGTAGTCACATGTGCCTTGCAAACTGTCTGTATAGGGAAAAATATAACCCATGCTTGTTTGTTTTCAACCTCCTATTGCACAGAGAACTCGAGGCGCGGAAAATGGACAATAGTCGGCGAATAGCGAACATAACAGCCGCCATTAAGGACATGCTGGAAGACTATGATATCAGATTGCGGCCCAGATTTGGAGGTAGGACTAACATGGCAGGATCTGCCAGTATTGATCTAACCAATGTTTACCATGTAAGACAAGTAGGGGTAGAGGGATGGTGTTAGCGAGGCGTTTTGTCTCCTGAAGAATTTCTAATGAAAGCTCTCCGGCCCTCTGTCTGAGTCTTGAGGCATAAATAATGCAAGTCGTGTCGTGCAGGTGCTTTGCTTTTCCTTAAAGCACAATGTCTAGCTATGCTAACGTTTGTTTTCTTTCTGTTTGTCTGTTTTGTTAACTTCCACGCAAGCCACCCCAACCATCATTTACCGGTAACCCCAAAATAACCCCGAAATAACCCACATGACTGTTACCCTCTGTATGTCGTATACATTTACCTGTATACATGTACCTCTGTATTGTAATGTTGCTACACAAACATGTAATTACAATACGGATACTGTGTGGGTCTATGCGAAGATACGTTTGAAGAAATGCGTTGAGTGGGAAGTAGGGGCCCCGTCTATTCGTTTAATATTATGTGATCTTCATTCTTTTTATCAAGTTTAAAACAGAGTTGATGTTTTTTCCACAGGAGATTACTCTTAGATTTTATTGCTGGTGTTTGTTGTTAAATATCTATCGTAATTCAATGGGTCCTAAACTGAATCACGTTTTCCATGCATAATATGAAAACATTTCCAATTATAACAAAATAGCATATTATGCATCTGTAGAGGGCATGTATTACACATTTAATGGTACAACGAATGAAAATCCCATGCATTTTACTAAACATTTCAATTATATATGATTACTATTACGTCACAAAGCAATGGAATCATCATTATCATTACATTCCTAGTAATACAAATACAGTATGATAAAAAAGAAACACACCCATTAAAAGGATAGTTACTGTGATACACCACTATGGTACATACATAAAACATTGTGGCAGTAAAAACATCAACATGTATGGTAATAAATCGACCTATAACGAGTATGGCATTGCCATCAAGATATTCTAGATAATGTTTCCACGATGCTTACATAATAAATTTGTAGCTCAATCTTTGTCCATAGTTTCACTATTTTTATCGTCAGTTTTGTTGTTTTTGTATCATTGTCATTGTATCTTTATTAGTAGTATCATTATTATCATAATTATCGTAATTATTATCATTACTGTTATTATTATTGTAAAATTATTTTCAATATCATTAATATTACTACGATTAATATTGTTGTTATTACTATAATTACTATAGTTACTATTGTTGCTATTGTGTTTAACTGCTTTCTCATTTGCAATAAGAATAAGGTTACATTATTTTGTGATTTTGTTCATAGCTCAACAACAACAACAACAACAAATAAACAAACAAACATCAACAAACATCAACAATCAAACAACACTAGATATATGAACAGAAAAGCAATTAGGTAATATTTCCCTTAATGTGTAAACATCTACTGTAGATGTCCAATACTATTACTGAATTGAATTAGATGTCTCGAATGTTATTTATTTATTTTGTGTTATTTTCTTGTTATGCCATACCATCTATTATAAAATGGGTTCAAGAATGTAGCCAATAAGAAGCGACGAAATAGATCACGTGTGCGTGCATTAATGTTCACCATGTGCACGGCGAGTGCATTTTGGTGATAGCAACTGTCAGTTTCTCGACTTTATATTCGTATATATTATTTGTTTTATAAGATGGGTCAACAATTACCCATCTTATAAAACAAATAATATATTATTTTAGCTCAAGCATTTGTGATATGCACTGCACTTGGTTAAGTCACAATGACATGGAAAATGAACTCGACAAGTCTTGTTAATTATCCTACTGTGACTTAACCTGCGTGCAGTGCATATTTACTAATGCACTCGCAAAACTGTATTATTTTATAGCATTTTATGGTTAGCTTGATATTCATGTCCTTTCATGCGTTTTCAGTTCAGATAAATATCTTTAACTTGGATTAATGAATACAGCAATACCAGCAGTACAATACATACATATTACATAATACAATGTTGCCAATTTGAAGAATGGTTGGTGATTAAGATTATTCCTTGCGAAATCACGTCCTTGATAGGATAAGAGGGTTCATATTTTATAGAGGCTTATGTTTCGCTAAAAATACCAACGTAATGGAATATCCCAAGTTAATATCTCTTGAACAAACAATCATACATTTTGTAACGCGAGACTTCGCGTGCCTGGAGTCCAATGTGAGTTTTGTAAACACGGTAATGCTCAAATTATGGATTTTCACATTTAACGGTTCTCTGTTCTCTAATCTAATTGTCTTTTTATTTTAACTATGTTGTTTCTCAGCTATTTAGAATACACTATCTGCTAGACTCATAACGAAACACGTGAGGGTACATACTGTGCGCATTGACATGATCAAATCACCAGGGTAAAACAAGTAAAACTAACAACATAAAAAATAACAGATATTTAATTTAGAATATACTTGCTGATGCTGGTTGTTTGCAAGTTAATTGATTTAACAGCAATTTTCGTTCCTAAAACAGCGAAAACGACGTGACTACAACCTCTCATGGATCGTTATCATTCCCATGACACTCTAAATGGTTGAGCCAGACATTTCCTCAAATGTGGTGATTTATGTAAATGATATGAATCAAGGGACATCAATCTATGTTCATTTCTATTTAAAATGGAATATAATTTTGTTTATGGGATAATACAAAACGGTGTGATGCATTTTAGAATGGATGGTGATTATACACATGGTAATAATCATGGTATCGAATGGAATGAAATCATTTCGACCATGCAGCTTTGGAAACTGCTGCTTTAACATATATCGATCATACAAGTACTTGGATTTATAATAACGGCGACTGCTACTACTACTAGGCCTACTACTACTACTACTACTACTACTACTACTACTACCACTACTACTACTACTATTACTATTTCTATTACGTGTACTACTATTATAGTATTAATGACTGCTTTGAGAGACATAGTTGTTTTTATACGCTCAAGGGAAGGTTAAAATCGAGCTATTGCCCGAGGCTTTTACTACTACTACTACTACTACTACTACTACTACTACTACTATTATTACTATGATTGTTACTACTACTACTGCTACTACTACTACTACTACTACTACCACTACTACTCCTACTAATACTACTACTGTTAAATATGCACTACTAATACTACTAATACTATACTTCTATTTACTATACCATGACTTCTTTTCCTACATGTATACAGTATATACTATTTTGTCTTGATACTTTAATTATCCTCTTCGATTTGGTATACGATTTGACAATGCATTTACCCTTAAAGCATGTGAAACATCATTTTAGTACCAACCTAACATGATATTGCAGATTTTGTGCAGATACAATTTTTTATTTGGTATATATTCAAGGCATTCAAAAGATAAAATGCGAGTGAAGAGGGCGCTGCTTTTTATTTCTGAATTTATTACATGGAGCAATACTTTCCTTCGAAATTTTGCTACGGCGTGTCCCAAGTATACACATCGTTGATAAATGTGTAATTCATGACGGATTTGGCATTGATATGACTTTAAGATGAAATAACTGTTCGATCCCGAGGCCGTGAAGCGATATAAAAACACATTTGCACAGCACATAAACACACACACATGTATAATGAGCATGTAAAATAAACATTTGCATGAAATATGAGAGAATGGGAAGAGGAAAACGAAAGGAAAAGCGACCACAAGAACAGCAGAAAAGAACAAATAAGAACATGCATGTTACACAAATGTTAGGCATGCAAGAATAGCTTGCCTACTATGTTCTAAAATTCTAAGGTTGGTAGAAGGTTATTCCAATTAATGTGGAGTGGATTCCGCTTTTAACCGAAGTGCATTCTACTAAAATAAGAAGTTACGTGACCACTAAATAGTATGTGTCTTAAAAGGTAGATTTCCACTCGTCTGCATTAAATTTAGTCATGGAATGAGATTGTAAAAGAAAACTGTCTGAAAGCAATTTAGAAAGGCTGATAGTAAACTGTAAGGTTTTGTAATCATCTAATCAATAGTAGTTGACCCCGTCCTGATGAAGAGTACTTGCATACCACACACAAATGTGTATATGGGACTACACCCATATTTTAAATGATTATGTGGTACAAACACTTCAGCTGCTTCTTATCATATCTTGAAGGACATCTTAAGAGCAATTCTTTTCAGGGGACATTTCTGTTATGTCTTTCTTCCAAACCACTATACAAAGAATAAGAAATCTCATAAATTATTTGTCGGCTTTAATAGAACTCACCGTTCTGTTTAAAGAGAAGGTTGAGTTCTGGGGAGAGTGAAAAATAAATTGTGAGCGTTATCATTGTTATTATGCAAGGGTGGAAGAACATCAGATAACGTTTCCTGAAAAGCATGGCTCTTCAAATGCCTTCATATTATAAATATGACAAATAACAGCTTAAAAATGAAGCCCGATTGTTATGCCACATGCTTGTGTAGTCCCATATACATATTTCTGTGTACAGTTACTTTACAAAGATTAGGCCACATATCTTATCATTTTGATGATCCCAGAACCTTGCAGTACACACCAATATATACTTATATGCTTCATGATCAACTTTTCTGATCGATTCCACAACGTTTCTTTCACAATGCAATCGCATGACCAGACTGACTCAACTTTATCTTTAAGACATTACATAGGACAGACGACACGCCACCGTTCAGTCTTGCAAGAAAATTACTAATCAATGATGGGCGGGACTTTGACACGTGACTGTTATGACTAATTATTATCCAATATAATGTGGGATCCTTATTATTTTATTTAATGATCTAAGAGGCCAATCGATTTGGATCATAAGCGCTTAATGGGTCTCCCAAGGTTGTGTCTATGTATATGTATCGTTGATCGTGAAGTGTGCATCATGGTGGGGTCATCGAAGACAGGTCGCACTACTTGTAATTGCCCTTTTAGAAGAAGAAAATACGTTCCATTTCATGTCAAGTGT